GCTGGGATGGGGCAAGTGGTCTCTGATGGAGCTTGTTCCTCCACAGAACTTCCCTCCCAGCTCACGGTCCCTGGGGAATCATATCTCAAGGCAAAGCAGCTCTCACAGTCAATCCAGAGGTTTACACCACCTTTCCACAACTCTGCGACCAGTGCTCTAATTCTACCAGAAACCTCCTAAACACAGTCCCATGCTCAATACGTGTGCAGGAAAGCAGTACGCACATTTACTCAGGTGGGCATCTGGACCACTGACTTCTCAGTTCCCATTGCCTGTTGTGGCAGAGAAGGCCGAGGGGATATTCCTGCATGTTGCTTCGTGGGGGTCCTCTGGGTGTTGCAGGCATGTAGACCTGTGTAGCACCATTGCCATGCTTTTCTCCAGGCTGTGTCCCAGGACTACTGGTCCTGGGACCAAGGGTTTGGATGTCCTTGGATGTCTGTGGATGAACAGCGGGCTCGATAAAGTGCTCTCCCCTCCTCTGAGGATCTCTGTTCAAGATCTCTCTGGTAGGGGCACATGCACCCTGCCATGTCTGAAGCATGGTTTTGCCACCATCAAAAGCATGGCCTTCATGTATTTGAAATGAACGCAGCACCACTTGTCAGTCCTCTCCCACTTGGCAGCAGGTGTGGCATTAGCAACAGTGTGGTGCGTCTGCTGGAGAAGCTTTTGCAGCAGTAGGAAAATAATTAAGACAATAATTAAGGCAAGTAATAGAAGAGCGAAGAGGCTGATCAAGGGGCACGGGGGAATAGGAAGGAGTACTTTCTTTAGTAGTCTTGGGAGAACAACACAGTGGAGAAGCTGAAGAGTGACTTTGGTTTTGAGGAATACGTATGTGATGTGGCTCTTTTTACACCATGAGATGCACTTCAGGGTGTTGCAGGAGCTCCTGGTATTTGAAGAATCCTTTTGTGTTTAGCTTGCGTTGAAGGACTCCACTGGTGAGACCCAGTCATTATTCAACCCATGAAGGCTTGAAATTCCTCTTTTGAGCATTTTGAGTGGAATTTCTGTTTTAGTATCCTCTAAGAAGAATTCTTTTGGCATGGACCAAAGCTGCTTTTTGTAGCTACTAGGGACAGCCAGGTGATTTACAGAACTGCAGTACTTCTCCAAACCTGAACTGCTAATACAGATGTAGTATTTGTTTGGTGGCTGGGTAAGAATAAAGCCATGCTCACTGGGAGCTTGCATTTGATAGAAGTAATTTAAGCCCAGATCTTTGAAGCTGAAAGCCTACTTGAGTTTCCTATTATATCACTTGGTCTCAAGTGATTTTATTACTGAAGTGTCAAATATATTAAAGTGATAGAGCAATCTTAAACTTGAAGAAAAATGGAGAAATAGCATACTGGTAGGAAAATAGCAACTGTAAAATCTTGAGTGATAAAGTACACCGTCTTAATGTAAACCATAAATGACAACACAGTGTAACAAAGTGGAAGCTTTCATGGCTTTTAACAGTTTAATGTCAGTACTCAATCTCCCCCCCCCCCCCATTTTTTTTTTTTTTTCACAACACACGTC